ATTCACAAAGGACACTTGTAATAGTTCTTACAGTTGAATGATTTTGCTCTACACTTTTTTACTAGAAGATCCAGTGAGTAAACCCTGTATTTAGCTTGCGCTCTTCCTAGTGTGGTTACGGAACTTACGCCTGTAAGGCAGGATCTATGATAGATTCATGGAGTCTTGGATTTGAAGAAAAAAATTGTATCTTTATTTTTACTAACCTCTGGCAAATTCACCATTTAAAAAAAATTATGAACATAAGCCACAATAGTAATAGTAGTCTTAGTAGAAAAACAGATTTTGTCACCAATAGGAACCATAGATATTTTCATTCATATTATACTTGTTACAAATATCTTGAAATGCTGTTTAAACACACGATCATTTAAAAATTATTAGTTTTAAGACCACTGATAATAAACACTATCTACTCTGCTAATAAAAGGCACATAGTGCTGTATCATACATTTAAAAAATATTTTGATAACTGCATTTCAACAATTTTTTTTCCTTTATAATTCTGTATATTTTACTTTTTGCATATACAAATACTATTCCAAAAAGTCCAAAGGAGTCCATGGCACAAAAAAGATTAAGATATCTGCTTTAGGGACAAAAAATAAACAAACAAACAATAATCACATCTAAGGTAATTCTCTGTAAATAAAAAACTACATGTTTTCTGTTAAGTGTCATACACTCATTTTGTTCTCTAGCATAAAGCAAAGACCATTTGTCACTGTGTTTAGCAGCCCTTACTTCAAAACTGGTTTGCAAATAGTTATGTGATATAACAGCCTAGCAGATCCATGGGTTCTCTTGGTTCACTGGAAGTCATTCTAGTCCAAACACAGAAAGCTTCAAATAGATATAATTTTCAACTTTCAGCAAGAGGATAACCAAAAAGGGAGAAAAAAAGAAAAAGAAAAGAAAAAGAGCTCTCATAGATCTATCTACTAACCTGGTTTTCAAACAGTAAAATACAGGCAATTCAATTATTTATATGAGATGATGTATGTAAACAAATCTAACACAGTGCCAAGTATAAATGAGAGACTCACAAATGGTTTCTTGTTTTTCTTCTGAATTATAGCTTTGGCATACTGAAAAACAGAGTATGTAAAAATATATATTCCCAGAATTTACTGACTAAATTGTACAAAGAGTTAGGATTTAAATTTTACCACAAATCATTCATAAAATAACAGATCACACTTCAAACACATATCCAGGTACCCATCTGACAGAAACGTTGTGAAAAAAGAAGTTTACGACTAGAAACAGAAAGGTTTAAGCTTGGGAAAGCGGAGGTGTTAGAAGTCACCCTCTGAGCAGATAAGCAGGAGGGTTGAGTGTAGAGCCCTAATCTCTTCACTCTGTCTTTCCTAAGTCATTTCCTAGACTGTTTTTTCTAATGTGACTGATGTCATGATAACATAAAGTATGTAGAAACAGTCACAATCTTGAGCAAAAAGGAATTCTCACAGTCCGCTGATGATTAGGAAGTTCTCTGACTTCAGGGTTTCCCTAACTGAAAAAATTCACCCCCAAATCATCTATTTTAGGGCAACACAAATGTTGGTATAAGAGAGACCTATTTCTGCTTGATTCAGAAGGGAGAATTATCTCTATTAATAATCTGACTCCAGAAGATCTGAATTCAGATCAGAGTTATGCAAATACTTGGGAAGAAAAGCATAAGAAAATTACAATTGTTACTAGCTAATTTGTTGTTAACCATCAGTAATAACAACAGCAAATTATTATGCTTTTCTATGAACATTTCACAAATTAATTCTTATCAGCATTTGTAACATGGAGAGGTTATTCAGCTTCCTAGGGAAATCATGTCTAACCTAGAGGTTAGACAGTTCCCTAAGGGAATCATGAATGGGTGGTGGTTTATAAACTCCATGAGACAGTATACAAAATCTGGTGAGTATGCATATATTCTAGATAATTAATGGGAAAGCAGAAAAGCAGTTACCTCTGCCATAGTTAGAAAATCTAGGACAGGAGAAAGCAACAATTCTTCCCATAGTCACAGAGTGAATCAGTACTAACATCAGATAAAGTAACCTGGGACTTCGGAATCCAAGGCTCTATGTGACTAGCTCATTCTCCTTGAGGGATCACATATCAAAAGGGGAGGTCCCCAAGAAAAATAAAACTTCATCTGCTTATGGGAGGTAAAAGTTGTAGGCTGAGGAAGGAATTAAGTTCATTCTTTATCAATCCATCCATTATACTGGTTTTTGAAGGGAATTTGCAAATCCAGGTAAGACAAAAAGAATCATTTCATTCAGGAAATACAAAGGACCCCAGAGGCAGTGCTGCAATCACAAGCCTACAAGTCTTCTCTCTACGTAAGCTACCTTGAAACATGTAGTCTGTTCTAGAAATAAATTCTTGAGTAGCTCCTTTTAGTTATGCAGAATGTTAGTAAATATCTAATGGTCTAGAAAAAGGTACAACTAGCCATTTTCTAGCTAAACAAAAACTATTACCATTCCCAACTCATTCCAATTCCATAATATTTCTGAACTCTCTTCCCCTATCACAAAGTGTATATGTGTGTGAGAGGTGGGGCTATTAGGTTAACTGATAAATACAGTGTCTGCTATGTTGTTTCTTCTATTAGATATCCTAAAAAATACATTGGGTGGCAAAATCAAGAGCACCTTCTACAAATGGCTGTAAGAGAAGAGGAGGTAGTGAGACTCACTTTAGTTCATTTCATCTGCATGGCTATCAGCTCTCATGAAAGGGAATTGGCAGGAAATAAAACCAGCTCCCATAGTCACAGAGTGAATCAGTACTAACATCAGATAAAGTAACCTGGGACTTCGGAATCCAAGGCTCTATGTGACTAGCTCATTCTCCTTGAGGGATCACATATCAAAAGGGGAGGTCCCCAAGAAAAATAAAACTTCATCTGCTTATGGGAGGTAAAAGTTGTAGGCTGAGGAAGGAATTAAGTTCATTCTTTATCAATCCATCCATTATACTGGTTTTTGAAGGGAATTTGCAAATCCAGGTAAGACAAAAAGAATCATTTCATTCAGGAAATACAAAGGACCCCAGAGGCAGTGCTGCAATCACAAGCCTACAAGTCTTCTCTCTACGTAAGCTACCTTGAAACATGTAGTCTGTTCTAGAAATAAATTCTTGAGTAGCTCCTTTTAGTTATGCAGAATGTTAGTAAATATCTAATGGTCTAGAAAAAGGTACAACTAGCCATTTTCTAGCTAAACAAAAACTATTACCATTCCCAACTCATTCCAATTCCATAATATTTCTGAACTCTCTTCCCCTATCACAAAGTGTATATGTGTGTGAGAGGTGGGGCTATTAGGTTAACTGATAAATACAGTGTCTGCTATGTTGTTTCTTCTATTAGATATCCTAAAAAATACATTGGGTGGCAAAATCAAGAGCACCTTCTACAAATGGCTGTAAGAGAAGAGGAGGTAGTGAGACTCACTTTAGTTCATTTCATCTGCATGGCTATCAGCTCTCATGAAAGGGAATTGGCAGGAAATAAAACCAGCAGCTAAAACATCATTTGAATTACCCACGGCATGGCATCAATCCCAATATGCCAGTATGGCCTCCAATGTACCTATAACTGAGCTGGTTAGTACACTACATGAAAGCTTCTCCCATGTGGCATTCTAGTTACCATTGTTGACTTTCCCAGGGTCATCCTTTCTTTCCCAAGATGGTCATCATCTGTTTACCCCTGATTACTGCACCAAATTGCATTCTCAAATATCTTTTTACTAGCAATTTTCTGTATTTTCAGGATCACTAAATATCAAGACTGAAAAAGATCCTGAAGGTCTATCTCTCTACTCCCATTTTATTCCTGGCAGAATATTTTCTGTCTCTATCTTCAGTTCCTTTCCGAAGTCTAGTTCCTACCCTTCTCAAAATCTTCCCCTTCCATAGTATCTATTCCTAGCAGCGGTTCCTATATAAACCCCTATATTCTCATCACCTCTCTAAGTATTACTGTCCTTATTTCAATATATAAGTTCTGGTTCTTCCAACTGAGATTCTGATTTTCAATTCTCAGTCACAAGAAGTCACCTGAGTTGTGTTTGGGAAGCCTTCTCCAGTTAAGTCCATCAGATAGAGCCTGTGCCCCATCCACAGATCCAGTCTTCCCAACTGCATCTTTGTACTTCCAAACAGTCCCCTAATCATAGAATCATGGCATTTTAAACACAAAAGAAAACTCAGAAGCAATCTGGTCCAGTGTTTCTCAAACTTTTTTACTACATTTTATTTGATATGTTTTAAGACACACGAAATCCATCTTACAGCTTAGTCTCATATACATAAAACTGAAACAAGTTTCACGAAACAATACTTACCCTTGCTATGTGAATACACTGAAAATTCTAATCTACTCCTTTTTTTCCCCCCAGTGCCATCTTCTAAACGGATTTCACAACCCAATTAACAGAATGGAACCCATAGTTTAGGAAACAGTAAGAACAAACTTCTCGTTCACTGAAGAAACTGTAGCTCAGTGATAACGTAATTCTGAATCACACCCCATGCCCAAACACAGTCCTACAGTACCATGTCCGCCCACTGATCCCAGGCTCTTCTCCAGTTCAGACACTCGAAGTTACTAGTCATTGGTCAGAGTGCCCACGCAGCTGCTGCTTCATGTTCCCTTAGGTCAGAATCCCTCACTGTCACTATCCATAGAACAGTCTCCTCCGGGTCCCTGGCTCTCGATCAAGTCGCCTCGTGCTCTCCGAGGTCAGCGTCCTTTCGCATTCACGGCCCCTGCGTGGCAGTCTCCTCGTAAGCAGTTACGTTCTCTGTCACAGTCCCCTCACTGTCATCACCCCGGGTCACAGTAGTCTCGCAGCCTCTACCTCACACTCCCCTCGCTGTCACTGACCCACCTTTCTTTTCGTCAGACTCCTCGCGGCCCCAGCCCCACAGCTTCTTCTCTCAAAGACAGCCGCAAGGACTTGCACACACCCGGTCCTTACCTTCAGAGCTCTCCTTCCCCTGGCCCCTGGCCCGTAGGATTTCTTTTGGGCGCAGTCACAGACTACGGAAGTTGAAGAGGTTGCAGGGAGACGCCCGGGTAAGGCAGCTGACGGAACAGCGGGCCGGAAGTCCCGCCTACTACCCTCCCACTTGTCAATCCTACCACGACTTTTCCCTGAACACCGTGACCCCTGACACAGTAGTTCCGCCTCCACAGAGGCCCCGGGGGAAAGAGTAACTGAGCAGGAAATGCCGGAGGCAGGTGAAGTGGCTCAGGGAACTGAGTCCCAGGCGGAGCTGGACTGTACAGTGAAGACGCCTCCTCAAAACGAGTTCCGGAGTGCTCGCTGGCAGCTGGCACGACGCGTTAACCCCGCGGCTCCGCTTTGGCCCGTCCCGGCCTAAGTTCCTCTCTTGGGCGTTTGCCCGTGTCGGTCCTTTCCGCCCGGTCCCCGGCGCCTGGTGTGTGCCGGGAACTCGTACCAGGAGTGCCCCACACGGACGGCCGCGACGCGTTCCGCCGGAGGCCCTGGGTCGGCTTCTCTAGCGCCAACTTTTCCCTACTTGGTGACGCAGAGAATTCACGACCGTCAACCAAGTCCTGTGAAAACCTGCAGGGGCCCCAAACCCTCTTTCATCCTGGTTATTTCCGACCCAGGTTTATTTCTGGCCATAAAATATGATCACTAGGAGTCAAGTGGAGGTTAGCTGAGCCGGAGCGGACTCAAGGGAGGCCATGGGGAGGAAATCACATGTGGGGCAGGGTGTCTGCTGAAGAGAAACGCCGCCCTTTGCTGGAATGAAACTTTGAAGCGGTCCCTTTTGATTCCATTGATGTCAGGCAAGTAGATACCGATATTATGGAAGAAGTATGTAAAATAACTGTTTAGTGTATTTATTATTTTTTGTCTACATGCTTAACTTCAAAGTGGATGAGAATGGGTGGACACACGCCTCCGCTGTGGAGCCTCCAGGGAGGAAAGGGATTTAAATCGCGACATTTTTCCTTTTGAGTTTCAAAGAGATACTTGAACACGGCAGATAGACTTAAGGTAATGGAGAAGCCATCCAGGACCCTAACGGGGAACATCACTGCTGAGATAGTGCGAGTAGGGATAGTAACCGAAATAATCTCAGAGCCTTAAGGGAGGGCTAATTTCATGAACAGCTTCGAAAGTCTCAGAACCCAGACACTGTAGACAAACCCTGGAAAAAATGAATGTGTGTTTAAGCTAATAAGCGGTGTAAGGTGTAGGGTGGCAATTTCTGAGCAAAAAGACTGGTGAGAGATGAAGGCAATTCAAAATACAGGAAAATATGAATTAATCAATGCACGAATGAATTCATATTAGTAATGGTGAAAAATTAGAAATAATCTGTCCTTCCAGGAAATGGCAAAAATAACCAATGGAATAAATACAGCTGTTAAATTATAGTTATAAAAATCATAATACAAATCAAATGACATAAAAACTGCACATGACATGAGAAGTGAAAAATTGGGGTACAAAACTGTATACATACTTTTTTTAACCTTGCAAATAAAAACACTGGTAGAAAATATACCAAAATATTTACAGTTGGTTATGTTTGAACAATTGAAATATGGATTTCCCCCAATTTCCAAATGTAAAAAGAACATATTATAACAAAATCAGAACACTTAAATAGAAGGCCTAACACTAACTCAACAGACTCAGTTGCCAAACTGCCAACTTATCTTTATTTTGTTAAGATATTTAACAATATAAAAAAGTTCATATTTCTTCAGGGTCATATCTTTTCCCAGCTTTTCAAAGATTCAATAGTAGAAACAGCCAAATGCTGCTACAACACAGAATAAACTGTCCTAAAAAATAAACAAAACCAACAACACAAATGCAGAGTGTTAGTACTAATAAACAACTAAGGCAGTACAGGCATTTGAAATTATCATCTCAGCCAATTTTCAATCTTAAAAGCTTTTTCCTTCTTCAACTAAAGGGTTTTCAGGGTCTGGCTATAAAGTTGCTTGCCTTGGGGTAACTACAAAATTGCTTGCTGAAGGGCAGGATAGGTAAAGAATTACGATGGGTAAAGAATTCGATTTTCTTAATGCAGAAATAAAGATAAATGTAGAAATAAAATGCAAACTAATTAATTTTATATAATTCATATTCATAAAGTATTCTCATTTTTCCTGATTTATCACAGAAATAATGTAATATATGAAATGCTTTGAGTTTCTTGGAATAAATGCATTACCCAACCTAAGGAACTATATTACAGTATTACAAATAAAAGCAATAGCACCTTGTCATAAATTCTGGATAAGGGCAATGGTCTCTGGATGTGTATTAATTGATAAAATTCATTTATCCATTTTTTAGCCCAGAATCTCAAAAAGTTTTCCAGATCCCAGTTAAACTTATTAAAATACTTCTTAGGTACTTATTACAGGGCATCCACCTGCTTCAGCCCCTAACCCACCAACTTCACCTCCAGCCTGGTACAGTTGGAGAAAGACAATCTAAACTCAAGTACCTAATTATTAGCCAAAAACAAAATTCTTTGGTTAGCCCAGTTCCCTGGCCCCTTGGATGGTATAACTGTGAGCTGTATTCTATAGCAGTGCTATCTGTGGTGAGGAACTTGTTTTTGTTTTTATTTTAATTTCCATCCCTCATGGACTTCTGTAAAAATAAGTAGGAAAATTAAATGAAAAAAGAAATATACAAAATACAGCCTAAACATTTTACTATTAGATGTAATGGACATAAAATTACTCTGACAAATTCCTGTAAGAGCTTCTAAACCCTTACATTCAATTTATTTGTTTAACCTCGTCGAGGACCTGTAACAAGCAGCTCAGGGACTGGCATTTATCTTCGGATTCCCCTTTGATTGTCACCGCTCTACAGCGCCGCCCAATGTTCTCCGGCAGGATTAAGCCCTGGTTAGCGACAGCAATCATCAGCTCAATAGCATATGCTTTTCTCTCCCCTCTCATTTCCTCATCCTCTACTAGTGCTTTCTGGGATCTTCTCCCAAATAAATAAAGTGCTTTCAGCTCTGAAAGTAAAACCTAAGTAAACACTCCACTCAACAGTCTGAATTAACATACAGTAGACTGAGACAGCAACCTAGACCAGGCTCTCAAAAATGATTTTTACTAGATCTAATATCTGAATTCAGCAAAGTTGTGGGATACAAAATTAATACACAGAAATCTGTTGCATTCCTATACACTAACGATGAACTAGCAGAAAGAGAAATCAGGAAAACACTTCCATTCACAATTGCATCAAAAAGAATAAAATACCTAGGAATAAACCTAACCAAGGAAGTGAGAGACCTATACGCTGAAAACTATGGGACACTCTTAAAAGAAATTAAAGAGGATGCTAATAAATGGAAATTCATCCCATGCTCTTGGCTAGGAAGAATTAACATTGTCAAAATAACCATCCTGCCTAAAGCAATCGACAGATTCAATGCAATCCCTATCAAATACCTACAGCATTCTTCAATGAACTAGAGCAAATAGTTCTAAAATTCATATGGAACCTCAAAAGACCTTGAATAGCCAAAACAATCCTGAGAAGGAAGAATAAAGCAGGGGGAATTACACTCCTTGACTTCAAGCTCTACTACAAAGCCACAGTAATCAAGAAAGTTTGGTCCTGGCACAAGAACAGATCCACAGACCAGTGGAACAGACTAGAGAGTCCAGATATAAATTCAAGCATATATGGTCAATTAATATATGATAAAGGACCCATGGATATACAGTGGGGAAGTCACAGCCTCTTCAACAGCTGGTGTTGCCAAAACTGGACAGCTACATGTAAGAGAATGAAACTGGATTATTGTCTAACCCCATACACAAAAGTAAACTCAAAATGGATCAAAGACCTGAATGTAAGTCATGAAACCATAAAACTCTTAGAAAAAAATATAGGCAAAAATCTCTTGGACATAAACATGAGCAACTTCTTCATGAACATATCTCCCCAGGCAAGGGAAACAAAAGCAAAAATGAACAAGTGGGACTAT